GCAGGGTCTGTTGTAATAGGATGAGGAGTGACGGCTTTAAACTAAAAGAGGAGTGATTCAGGCTGGATGTGAGGTAAAAACTCTTTATAATGAGGGTGCTAACTGGCACAGGTTGCCCATAGAGGTGGTGGATGCCCCATCCCTGGAGACATTCAAGGCCAGGCTGGGTGTGGTTCTGGGCAACCTCATCTAGTTGAAGATGTCCCTGCTCATTGCACGTGGCTGGACGACACGAGCTTTGAAGGTCCCTTCCAACCCAACTATTCTATGAATCTATGAGTCTATGTTTGAAGATTGCTATTACATTTTCCTTCAGTTTTATTCTTTTTCCTTAGACTAAGAAACTGGGAGCTTTTCAAGTCCTCCTTTACAGGTCATGTTTTCTGAGCTCCTAAATCATTGTTGTTGCTTTTTCTTGGACTTCCTTGGCTAATTCTCGAGTTCAATACCCAAAACTGAATGCAGTATCCCCATAAACTGGCATCTAGCCAGGGAATGTGTAGAACAGATTCTCTGTGTCTTACCTATAACACATTTGTAGATAGTGTGACTTTTTTCCTCCCAAGAATCTGACATTGTTGTCTGACATGTTTTTTCATTCTCAGGTCTTTTCCTTGCATCACTGCTGCAAGCCAATCCTTTCCCATTTTATGTTTGCATTTGATTATTTTGTAGCATGCTCTACTTACCCATATCAAAGCGCATCCTATTTTTCAAAGCACTGTGGCAATTCCCAAGATTATTTTAAGTTCTAAGGCTATCCCTAAAAGAGCAGCATCTCTTACCATGGAGTCATTTGAAAATATGATCTTATTTCTTCATCAAGTCATCAGTGAGTCACTGAGTGATATTAGATAGAACACAGACCTCTCTGGAACCCTGTCTTCAACCCTTCCAGGTCAACACAGAAATCTTACTACCTTCCTTGTGAATATTGCTGTAACCTTTAGCAGTCATTTCATCAGGACTGTCTGGCTTGCTTGCGTGAGTGTCATGCAAAATAGTGTCAGAAGTCATGTTAACTCCTGTTGCCTCTGCTTACCAGAAGCCAGTTACTACAGTGACTGAAGCTGTCTTGGCATTGTTTATACACCTTGGCTGTTTCTGATGATCTTTCTTTCCCATAACTACTTAAAATGGGTATATTTGTTCTCTTATCCATCTTGGAATAAAAGTTACACTTTACAGTTTATAGTTTCTTGTCTCCCTCCCCTTCTTCCCTTATAGATAATATACTAGGCAGAATGAACCTGACCAGAGATCTAATCAGTACAGTGACTGCAAATCATAGAATCACAGAATGGTTTGGGTTGGAAGGGAGCTTAAACATCATCTAGTTCCAATCCCCCTGCCATAGGCAGGGATACCTTCCACTAGATCAGGTTGCTCAAAGCCCCATGCAACCTGGACTTGAGCACTTCCAGGGATGGGGCAGCCACAGCTTCTCTGGACAACCTGTTCCAGTGCCTCATTACCCTCATAGTGAAGAATGTGAAGAATTTTTTTCTAATCTCTCACCTAAATCTACCCTCTTTCATCTTAAAGCCATTCCCCCTTGTCCTGTCACTACATGCCTTTGTAAAAAGTCCCTCTCAAGATTTCTTGTACCCCCTCTAGGCAGTGGAAGCTGCTCTAAGGTCTCCCCAGAGTGTTGTCTTCTCCAGGCTGAAGAAGCCCAGCTCTCTCAGCCTGTCTCCACACGTGAGGTGCTCCAGCCCTTGGAGCATCTTTGTGACCCCTAAATCATTTTATCCTAAGTAGTTGTCTGAAACAGGCCAAAGGAATGATGCCCTAGAAGTGTTTGTTTCTTCACTGGTTGCAGAAGCAGCAGCCTAGGGTAACCTGTTTCATATGAAAAACTACACAGTAGGTGCCATTCAAAGTGTTTTGGTATAGCTGGTCTGATGACTGCCATGGATAGATACCCATCCCAATGGATGCATTCCTGCTAATCCAGGGAGACAAGATGGCAGGAAATTACATCAAAAATAATCTGCTGCTGCTAATTAATGTTCATATCCCTGAACTGTCTCTACAATTGAAATACTTAGCATCTTCTGATGAAAATAATGGGATTCCTTCAGTAGGACATAGGACTAAAAGGACTCCTAGATTATCAGATAGGTTTTAACATACTCATTATAAGTGCATATAGAATTTACAGGACTGACTCTACTGCCACAGAGCACGAGTCACTCCCTTTACCCTAAAAAGCTACAGAAAACAGGTAGACACAAAGTAAGGAGTTACCTATTAAAATCTGCATTCTAGCCTTCCCAGAAGTCCTAAAATCTCTTTTGCTTATATCCATCTTTTTATGACTTTTGCTGTTGTATCAACCATGACTTGTTTTACTTTGCCTCTACAGTGCTGGCAGTGCTGTATTAAGATTCTGTGTTAGCGTTATGTCATAGGTCCATGGGTTTTGGCATAAATAATGCCCCTGTAAAAACCAAATTGAACCCTGACAAAGAAGAAATGTATTCAGGCAGGTTTGGTTTTGAATATATTTCTCTTTTGAACTTCTAGATATAAAATCTATTTTGCTTAGCAATATTTAGTACATGAAGTATATACTCTCTTATCCCATTGGGTATCTCAAACAGTTGAAATGGGTTACCTGACACACTCTGGTAGCAAACTTTTAAACCACAATCTAACTAGGTTATAGTTACTTAAAAACTCCTGTGGCAGTAGAATGAACAGTCACAATGAACAGGTATTTAAATGTTACACTAAATAATATCATTTTAGTGAGAATTATACGTCCTTTGAAAGACAGATCTTTTTCCTATCTTTAACCAGTAATCTTTTCTGTAGACTGGCAGAGTCTGTAGAGAGAGGTGATACTTAAGACTTGTAAAAATACCTGCTAATTTGTCTAATGCAGTAGTAGTTAACAAAGAACAAGATAGTATTTTCACCACTGATTTAAGCTGATTTAAGAGTGGGTTGTTTCCAGGTGTGCTCCCACCGTCACTCCTGCCTTTAGCACTCCTTGTGCCTGGGCTAACTGCTGCAACCACACAGTGAGTTGGATCAGGAACTGATCTGGACAAAAACCAATCTTTCAGTCCCTTTGGTTTTCAGCTGCATCAGTTTCCTGTTCTTACTCAGTGTTGCACACATGCCAAAAGGAGCTAGACTGCAAAGCAAGGAGCAAAATGAATGCCATGATCTGCAGCTTGTCCAGAATTGGTTTAGACAAACCCTAAGACTGCAGGCAGACTGAAGGATGGAGTTTCAGCCTTTAGTTTTCTATTTCCTTTGGGGGTTTTGGGAGCAGTGTAGATGTGACAACAGATATAATGTTACCATTACAAATCTCTGTTACTTATTAAATTACTGCCTTTGTATTATCTTGAGTTTCTCATAGTACTCTTGATTTGGATGTAGATTCTGCCACTGTAAAACCCTGATCCTGCAGTAAGCTCTGAGGTTCACAGCACAGTGTAGCCTGTTACATGGAACAGGTGTAACTGACTTCTCACAAACATACCTGTTTTTGTGGCAAGTGAAATGCAATGTGCAGCTTTAAAGACTCAGTGTCACTTCCAGCTACAACCAACCTTGGAGTTCTATTTCCTCATGGCTGGTGCTTACTAGATAATTATGGGGAGTAAATACTTGTTTGGGTTTTTTGTTGTGTTTTTTTTAAAAACAAACAAACAAACCAAACAACAGAAACATGACAGCTATTCCAATCAGATATGTTATCATCTTCTCTTAGTTAGCAAAAGAGGTTGAAAACTCTTATCAATATTAAGGTACATGATAAGGAAGATAAATTATTTAGAGCTTTTAAAGATAGCTGCCAGAGATAATTAAAACCTTCCAAAGCATTTTAATTAACAGGCTGAAAATACTATAAATTAATCTAAACTGCTTTGCTATCTTCTCTGACTGATATAAGACTATTTATTGAAATCTCAGAATTCTTTTAAAAATACAACCAGGAATTAAATAGTTTAGGATTTATTTTTGTTTCAAAGGATAGTTACAGCAAAGAACTGGATATTGTTAATGTCCTCATCTATCATTATCAGTGTCCATATAGAGAGTCAGTTTGGGAAAAAGAAGCTGTCACCAGTAGTTAGCTTCCTTGTTTGAAACTTCTCTGGACTTCAGAAATTACAGACAGCTTTCTGTTTTCCCACGATTTGTGGTTCTCCTCCCATCACAGCTTTAAATTACCTTTCATGCTTTCCTATGTTATATGCACATTGCTGTGCTACCGTAGATCCATTCTACCATCCTCTCTTGAAAGACTTGCTGAGCTTTTGAAGCTTGAGCCTCTCCTTAGGCAACAGTAGATTTTAAATGTTCTCTAACGGTGCCCATGACTCTTTTGGAGCACCATGCATGGGTGTCCGCCCACATGATCTGTGCCATTACCAAAGAAATAATCTGTTTACCCACCTCTACAGCATCCATGTCTGAACTGGTACTGCTGGGCTTCCTAAATAGTCGGTGGGGACCTATTCATCATAGTTAAGGAAGACTAGCTATAGCTAGCTGTCTAAGTAAATCTAAATTATGAACCTATTTCAAGTATTTCCCTATTTCCACTGATTCTTCTGTAGCCTGGTGTACAAGCTCAGATGCAGACTTGTAAAGCTGGGTGCAACAAGACGCATTCCTGGTAAGCAGAACCTCTTATGGTGTAAGCTCCATCCTTCAGACACCAGTAACAGCAAGTGGTTTGGGCTGTCGAGAACAGCTCTGAGATACTTGTCTGTAGTGACAGCAATGGTGGGGCTGTCAATTTGGGGGTTTTTGTTTCTTCAAGAATGATTTTTAAAGAAGGATCATCTAGTCTGATCCACTGCATAATGTAAACTAGAATTTCACTAACCCAAAGTCAAGCTCCCCTAACTTGTGGCCGAGCTAAAACTTGTAATGAGGAGCCGCAGGGCCGCCTCCCTCCCTCCTCCTCCTCCTCTTCCTGAGGGGACTGCTCCGAGGCTAGCTACCGGCTTTGGTAGAGGCGCGGGACTTACACGGAAGACGCCGACATTCGGGCTAATCTTGAATTGTAACTTCTCGTACGTTTTAAATGGAAACGAGCGCGTCTGTTCCCAGAGCGGGTACCCGGCCATGGCGGCTCGGCCCCGTGCGGGAGTTCCCTCTCGCACACGGGGGAAGCCCCTCATCACCACAGCCTGCCTTCCTCCCCCCCCCCCCCCCCCGAGGGCAGTGGAACTGTCGGCTTCCCCGCCGTTGCCTTGCAGGTGAACGCGCTGGACTATACCAACCCCGCCTTGCGGGGGGAGGGGAGGGCTTTCCTCTCCTCCGCCTCCTCTTGCAGCGCTCTAGTCCAAAGGAGCCAGGCGAACAGTCGAGACTGTAGAGACGGCTGCAAAAGGCGGTTGGTTTGGCAGAGCGCTTGGGGCAGTAAACCTCTCCCTCACTTTTTTGCGCTGAAATGGTAGTTACCCTCCCCTCCCGCTGCTGACCAACGGGCTTGACTGCAGCAAAAGGGAATGTACCAATCCCTTCACCGGAGGGGGGAGAGGCGGGGGGGGGAGGCGGGGAAGAGGCGGTGGCGAGGTGTGGCGGGAAGCGCTGTCCAGCGAAAAGGCACCCGGCCTCCCCGTCCCCCCGCCGGCCGCCAACTGCCGCTCTCTCCGTGCTGGGGGGAGGCGGTGCCTCCGGGAGGCACGGCAGCGGCGCGCCCGGGGGCCGCAGGGTTAATGGGCTAGGCGCAGCCGCCGCCGCCGCGGCGGGGGGAGGAAGGGTGAGTCTTGGGTCCTCCCCCCTCAGTGTGTGCGGTGCGTGTGTAAGAGGCAGCGCGCACCCAGCCGCGCGTGTGGGAGGCCGAGGGGTAGCTGCCACCCGGCCCCAGCGCTGTCTCGCCTTCCCTGCTCTCAGCGCTCGGCGGGAGCAGCGCCAGCCGCCCCCTCAGCGCTGCCACTCCCCTCCGCCGCGCCGGGCTGCTCCGATGCTGCCGCGGGGCCGGTGAGTCCGTGCCTGGATGCTCATCTCCTTCTCCTCTCTTCCCTCCCGCAGGCGGCGGCAGCGGCTCCGGCTCCGTCTCAGCTCCCGGCCGCCTCCGAAGGGATGCTGGAGAAACTAGAGCTCGAAGATGAAGGTAAAAATTAGATAAAGGGGGGGCCCAGGAGCACACCCACTCCCAGCGGGGCGTGGGCAGCGGGAAGGGAGCGGGGTATCCCCGGCTGGGAGCCAGCCCCGGGGCGCGCCATGCCCGGGCCGGCCGCTGTGCCGCCGGCTGCGCTGGCCGTGTCCTTGGAGGGCGGGTCGCCAGCCTCCCCCTTCCACCCCGGCGCGATCCCTCTGCGGTGCTTTTGTCCCAGTGGGTGCAGCCGGGCTGTGGCTGCAGCCGCGTTCGTCCTCCCCATCGGAGCCGAGGGCAGCACATGTCTGCGCCTCCGCGGCCGCTTCGGCGGGGCGTGCTTTTCATTTACGGTTCTAGTGAAGACTGAGGGGAAGGCAACCTTCATGTCATACCCTCTTCCTCCGCCTCCCTGTAAAATACTCATTCTCCTCGAATACGTCTGCGATACCAAATATAGACTTTGAGAGCGAGGTGCGAGCGGTGATGGAAAGCTTTTTCAACTCAAGCTTCTACTCCTTACGGATATGCATACATCTGTTTAAAGCGGACAGCTGTAAACTAAATTTTCCTTATGTGGCTGCTTTCTTACGTTGCTCTTGGCTGCCCTATAAAGAGCTGCAGCTTTAACGGAGTATGCTGTTATTGACAGGGAAACTCCTGGCAAGTTTTTCTCATGTGAACACGAAACTGTGCTGTGGAGAAGCATGGATGTTTTTCTCGAGATTACCTCTGAAAGATCCATATGGGATATGTCGAGCATTCATTTTCAGGAGGGATTGGATTAGTGGATGCAAATGTGGATGTATAGCTAATCTCTGTGCTCGGTATTGTAAAATGGCAAAGGCTTCTTGGGATATGTTGTTTTTTTCTGTAGTTGGTAACAGCTATTTGTAAAATGTGGGACAAATATTTAAGGAAAACTTTGAAAATAGTAGGCTGAGTCATTCTGTGAAAAGAAATAGCTAAACTGGTATGCTAATAAGCCAGCTTCTTGGTTACTAGTGTGCTGCCTGCATTTGTGGGACTGGTCTGAAAAAGTAACGCCTCTTATTTTAAGCTTTGTGTGAGCAAAGGAGGCTCTTAACAACTGGATTCCGTATGTTTTTTTCTTTAGGCGTCCAGACAGAGTTTGAATTGCAATGAAATACTTGTGCCTTTGTGAAGCTTGAGCATGATTAAGTATGAATGCTTGGTGCAAGGGATTTGTTGCTAACTTGTAGGGTTTTTCCCACGTACAGGCTTATGAAGAGTTGGAAAGTTACTGACTTACGGTTTTGTGTTTTATTTTATTTTATTTTATTTTTTTTTTTTAACATAAAGCTTGTTCCTGCTTGGTAGGAGATCCTAAAACCTGCTGAATCACTAGGAGTTAAGCCATTTTAAAAGGTATTTTAAGCATCTTTATAAATTTAGGTATCTTAAAATGGTGTATAGGTTAAAGCAAACAAATAAAACCCCAACTAGGAGAGAGTTAATTTTGAAACACCTTTGCAGTTTTAACAGTGTAACACTACTATTTGGAGACACTTGATCGCACTGAATATCTGTATGTGTCTTCTAAAGCACTGCAATAAGATAATGGGAGTTCTTCAAAAATGTTAGTAGGCTTTTACATTTGTTCCCCGCTGTTTTCAGCCTTCTGTTTCGCTTTGTCTCAGCTCATTTAGATTTAAAACTAAGGCTTTGTCTGTGAATACTCAAGCTGGGTGGGTGAGAGCAGTTCAGGGATCTGTCAAGAGATAATAGCAAAGCTGTGACCGGTTTGAAGTATTATGTGAATTTTGAAAGGAAGCGGTTGCCTTAATAGCCTTTGAGACTTAATGAAAGCTTCATTTTAAAGCTGAAAAGGATATAGGGTGCTGTACTGAGAAAGTAGGATGCAAGTAAGATTAAGAGTGTGAATGTCAGACCAAAACTTACTGTCCAGAATGCTTCTATATGAGGAGGCCTGTAGGAGAATCAAAGAAATTTGAGATGCAGGTGAAAATGCGGCAGCTTAGTTGCAGTGCATGTTTTACGACCTAAATTTTTACACCAGTTGCTGTAGTTGTATTTGTGGTAATATTGGGGTGGGGGAGTAAAATGACATCTGACAGTATTAACTTCTAATGTTGGACAGCAAGTAGCAAGTGCTCAGAAGTTGAGAAACTTCTTTGCAACCTGGTAAGATTTAATGAAGTGGTTGTAGCCACACTATAATTGATGATCTTTTGTCAAACTTAAGTCTCTCTGCTGGTACCTAAAATTGTTAGCTAAATGAGAAACTTGAAACTTGTTTTGAAGCTGCTTTCCTGACTGCCTTTACTTCTGAAAGCTTCCTCTTGCTAGCTTTCCAGTTCCTGTATCCATCAACAGTTGCTAACTGTCATGTGTATCAAATTATGCTTGAAACAGAAAAGCTTAATAAAAGGGCTAAAAAATGAGGCTGTGTGCATGGAATGCCATCCAGTATTCTAAGATGGATTTTTGTTTGTCACTCTCAACAGTTACACAAATGAGAAATTGAAAGAAGAGAGGGCATTCATTTAATTTGGATTCTAATTAAGAGGGTCAAATTGAAAAGAAATGGTACTAGAAGGATTTATAGTCTAAGTAGTACTGTAATGAAATACGCAGAGTCTAGCCTGATGATGTGATTTTAGTAAAATGGTATTATCAACTGAAGGGCAGTTTTCTTCGTTATATGCAAAGAAAGATGCCAACTTCTGTACACAACTAGATGGACAGTATTAGATGTGATATTATTGTCTCAGAAGGAAGCATTGGTCATTTTTTTCTGGTTTAAAACATCTTTACTGGCTGGATTCTCTAGGATTAGTGTAACTTTTTATTGGTGGATCACTAGTTCTGTCTAGTGGCTTAATAATAATACTGCTCTTGTGGTGTGTACTAGCAACTGTTAATGACATGATGTTAAACAGCATGAACTGCGCTACAACTGAAACGGGACAGGATAGACTGGATAGGCCAGTGGATATTTATTTTATTAGGACTCCCTAGAGGACCTTTTTCCCAACAGCACTCAGAGCAGGAAAGTAAAAACTCTAGCATAAGAGGTCCAGGACCTCTTTTTAACTGAAGGATGCTGTGTTTAAAAGTAAACAGAAAACTTGTTAAATACTCATCCTACTTAGTATTCCTTGGATGGGAACTAACTACCTGTGTCTCCCCAAAAAGCATTGAAGCTACCTGTTGGTGGGTGTGGAGTTTCTCACTGTAGCCTGAAATAGTTTGGTGCTGATAGACCTCTCATAAATGTATATAAATGATCAAACCCCAGTGTTCTCATGCATATTGTGGGTTTGCTTGTTCAGCTCCAATGTTTGTGAAGTCAAGTTTCTATAGTAAGGTTGCTTTTTCTTCTGAACAGTGTCAAGAGTAGTCTTGAGTTTTATTTTATGGAGGATACTATGAGCTTGGAGAACAGCAAGGAGAGATTATTTTGAAGATATGAAAAAGGGCTTTAGTTAACAATTTACACCTATTAACTTTGTTAAGCTGGAATTCCAGAAATTGTTATCTTCCAGTGGCTACCTGTGCTGTGAGAGGAGAAACTGGATTACTGTAGCAAATGAGTAGCAAACACATGCCTGTCAATTGTTTTGATTTAATTGGTATAGTTTTAGCATGTCATTTTGGAAACTAGTTTTGTTGCAGTGTTGGCTCTCATCCATGTTAATCTCTTCCATTTGCTCATCTTGGGTAATAAAGTAGTAGCTACTAAAAAGCAGAATTAACTACTTTTCTGTAGCATCTGCTAACTCAGGGAGGCTTTCTGAGGTATTCTCTGCAGACAGAGTTAAGTTAATTGCGGGGTTCTCCTGGATCTGCTCTCAATTTGTAATCAGAAAAAAGAATTCTGTGAAGTGCCTGCAGTGATTGTAGCATCAGCGTCATGGGACTGATGCACTTGCTCTTCGATGCTCTACTTCTCTGGATTGCTGCAGAAAGCAGCATTTAGACAGTCATTTGATAAACAGTTTGCATTACATTGGAATTTCTCCTACTAATGCTCGGGACTTCATCTCATTCTTCCTGTATCATCCATCTCTTCTGTT